GTCATACAAAACAGAGACAACATACAAAAGAAGTCTCACAATTATACATAGTAATAACTAGTAATACTTGGAAGAGAGAAGTACCAAAATAATAATACACATGAGTCATACTAAGTTATACTAATTTATACCTGGCAAAGAGAATTACCAAAATAATAACACCCAGTCGTCATACATATGTATGCATCTTTTTGTAAGTTACAACTATCCAACTATCTGAATTCCGAATCGGAACAACCCGTATATACCACTGTTTTAATCTTTTTCAGCTGCCATACAGTTTAGCACATATCGTTCATGTATACACAAAACAAGCAACACAGTCATACTTAGTTATACGTAGTTATACCAATCAATATTGATGTTGGTAATGATGGTTTTTATAAGTATTACTATGTATTGATTATGTTCTTTTGTGTTTTTAGATACTTATGTGTTGGAGAAATTTAATGAAATATAAAACTCATATTTTATAATGTTTTGGATTTTGTAGTTATATTCAGTCATACGTAGTTATACCTGACAGGGAGAATTTCCAAAATGACAAAACACAGTCATACTCAGTCATACGTAGTTATACCTGGCAGAGATAATTACCAAAATAACAACACATAGTCATACTCAGTCATATGTAGTTATTCCTGGCAGTGACACCATTTGTACCTAGTTAGGTTCTTGGACATTGGATTCCTGCAAATTGGTTTTCACACGTCAACCAACTTCACATATGTGTGACAGGATATATCATCCTAGAATATGCCATTACCCACTGCTCAACCGTATAAAACTTGGAGGCAAACTCATAATGACGGACCTCAGTCCCAGTTATACCTAGTTATCCCAGTTATAAACCAAAATTGCAAACGAAGCAACGAGGAAAAGTTGAAAACGACGATGCGTAGACATGAGTTCACTTGATTGACCATTCTGCCACCAAGATAGACTTTTCTTATGTATATTTATAAACAACTTCTCTTTCCATTATCCCAAACCAAATATCATCAAATCTATTACAAAATATCACAAACAAATCGAATCTCCGACAATACATTGAACTCGAATCTCCGACAATCAATTCCAAACCATGGCTTAGAATCAACAACCAATTTTTCAATCATCTTCGTAATCACAGGTCAAACCATAGCAAAACTCCTCGAACACTTCTACTATGACAAAATCAACCGAAGCGAGTACAACGAAATCCGTCAAAACGACGGCGTTTGGACTCAATCTCTTCTCCAAACCGTGGGTTTCCCTCTCCTTCTCCTCCCTTTCATCATCCTCACCAAGAAACACAACCAACAACAACAACCTCGGATCACTTCAGATCGATATCATTACAAATCCTTAGCCGTAATCTACATTTGCATCGAAATCATCATGTCGGTTCAAGGAAGACTCGCCGCCATGGGAAAACTTGATATCCCGTTTGATATCTTCATTCTGATCTACACAACACACTTTCATCAACAAAATCAAGTTCAATAGATGGGTCGTGATCTCTGTAATCTTAGCAATCGTCACCGAAGCTCTCACTCTCTCCTCCTCCTTCGGCGGCGAGCAGGTTTTCTCACTCAAGGTTTCTCTGTTTTATTGCTCAAGCTTCCTCTGTTTTGATGGAAGAAAACGTGAAGCGGAGAAAAAGAAAGAGAAGGTGGACATGGAAGGTTTTGATAGGTAGAATTAATTTTAAGTTGTTGAAAATATTTATTGTATATTTTGGTTGTTGAATTATTAAATTAGGTTATATAAATAATAAATAATATATTAAAGATGGGGTAAAGTTGAGAGAAAATGTTTTTAGGGGTGGTTAGAATAGAGTAGGGTTGTTAGAATATATGAGTTCCATGACCAAGACCTTTCGGCTCTTAGTGACAGGAAAATGCAATTTCGCAGCAGTAAATTTAGGGCAAAAGTTAGTTTCTATGATGAGCCTACAAACAAACAAAGGTCTCATCTGGGAAGAAACATACTTTCACAGGAGAGGAAAAGCAAATATCTAGCCAAGGAGATAGAAAACTTGGAGACCTACCTTGTTTGTATTGGAGAAAGCAAAACGCGAAATCCAAATGAGAGGAAGAGAGACGGTTACTGTTTTCTAATCGTTTTCTGTGTTGTTGCGACGCTGCGTTTTTGGATTTGTGGAACTTTGTATGCGAAAGCCTCTCTTCCAGGTAGAGTCTCTTGAATCGTCTTCTCTCGTTCAACTTCTTTACTCTCGGTAAATTTTGGCTTAAATTGGTTGGTGGACTCTATGCCACTTGCTTTGTATCCAGTATGAACCATATGAAAACTACTTAGTTCCAGTAAGAAAGCTAGATCTTTTGGAGCTCAATCATGTTGGCTTCTTTTCTTAGCAAAATCAAGCGAAAAGACTATCAAATACAAAATGAAAGAATGGCGAGGGGGGCAGCTCGATTTTCATGACTTGTTGACTTAAAGGCAAGAGTTAGGTGAAGACAAGAGATCTAAAGGTATTATTTTCACTCACTCTCTAATCAAAATCATATTCTATTAGCAAAAAAATGAAAGTTTCAAATCATTTCTTCTTCCTCTTTGTTTCTTCAAAGGTACAAGTTTTGCAGTGAAATGAGCTCTACTTTTATACAAACATGGGATCACTTTATATGACTTTCAGGAAACTTGTAAAGAACCTCTTTTGGTTCAGTCAAAGAATGGATCAACCAAAGCGGTTAATCTGTCCATAATGTTTTCTAAAGTAAAAAAGAATGTAAACAGAGTGCCTCCCCCTCAAGATGGAGCTCAAAGTCAATCGTCCTGTTCTGGATCACTGCTCATCTTCAAGCGCTTTATCTCATCTTCTAGCTGCAACAATCATAAATGGTGATGATGATCTAATACAGAAACAAGTAGAAGATGGATGGTATGTGAATGTGCCAATCTTTACCTGAGCGTTTGCTTTCTTCTCATTCTCAAGTTCCTCTTCAAGCTTCTGCACACTGTAGCATTTGAAACCATTACAACAATCATTCATTTTGTTCACTTTTGGAAAGAAGAAAAACAAACAATTTGGAACATGTATAACGGTTGACTCGTGGGACTATTAAAAAGCATCATTTTAGGTGACAGTTGCAGTATTTTTTTCCTTCAAAAGATTGGTGTTATTGTCTTAAGCATATAAAGTTATTTCATTACCTCTGCTCCAAAAACTGAACCACAGTCAAAAGATCTGTCTCCGTTGCTGCTATCTGTGAATTCAGAACTTAAGCCTCTTATTTCTTTCCTCATACAACTTCCTCTCTATGCAAATGTCATTAGCAAAATGAGAAGCAAAACGCAACCTGCCCGCCTTCTGTGTTCACGATTAGATTCCTGTTTTCTGTACAAATCAACATCACAATCATGAATCTCGTGAAACAGAGAAGATACAAAATCTGCTTTTGCTTACAGAAGAGAAAACTTACCAGCAGTTGGATCGTAGAGTTGAATTAATCCCATTAATCTTTCCTGCCAAGCAGTTCAAAACAGTAGAAGATGAAAATCCAAACAACATTTTAGAGTGAGTGGTTATGAACAAGAAGCGTTTTCATATACCCTCTGGATTTCATTGTGGAGCAGCATGTTCTGTAACAATGGGAGGATTTGAGCAGCACTGCCAGACAAAGGATTCACAAGACTAGTAGGTATCCCAGAGGTCAGCACTTTCAGTTTATCCTGAACCAATTATCCAACTTCAGAATCAGAGGGATAGCAATACGAAATTATATTTCACCTAATCTAAAGATTACCGAGTCGTTCTCAGCATCTTCAATTTGCTCGTTATCTGAAGCTAAGACTTGTTCGATTGTCTCTTCTTCACTAACAGGACGAACACCATCGCCAACCTTCTCAATAAGCTCGTGATCTTGAGGAATTTTGCCTAAATTCAAGCAGAAAATCAATAAACCTCGCTTCCTCCAACAGATATGCACAAGAATAGACGATAATCGTACGAGCTTAATCCGATCAAAACCCTAGTCAAACTCCATCATTATACAGTAACTAAACGCAATAACACACTCAAGTTTCGAAGTGCGTAGATCCAATTTCCAGGAAACAAAACTCTCGACTCTTTCTAACAAAAGTAAACGAAGCGGAGAAAGAAAACGAACGATCGTAGCGAGAAATCGAACCTGGATTTTCTTCAGTCGACATTGCGAAACAGGAAGCCGGCGAGATACGATCAGCAATACGGCATGGAGCGGTGAGAGCGCGACGGACTACGGTACGAGAGAGGAGCGGAAAAAGCGGAGGACGAAATTCCGATAACGGAATCGTCGGGCGGAAGAAATCGATTTCTCTGCAAGTGAAAGATCGGAAACTTGGGAGACTGAAAAAGTTTGTTAGTGGCGGACTTGAAAAGTTTCTAATGATTTTCAACTTCCTTTTATTGGGTTTTTAGCGGACTTGAAATCTGAAAAAGTTTGTTAGTCTCGGGCTTGAAAAGTCTCTAATGATTTCCAATTTCCTTTAATTCGGTTATTAGCAGACTTGAAATCCAAAACTCAATTGGGTTGAAAATCATTACCAAATTGGATTGGCATCGTTAATCTTCTCAACACTAAAAGTTCGCAACAAAATTACTACTCTTATAGTAAACATAAGACCTCTTTGCAAATGCTATGGGCCTAAATCATTTCTCTGGCCCAAGCATTTGAGAGTCCAATACGTATATATTTTTCTTGAGTCGGTTTCTAGTCTACAGCAAAATGGAAACTAGAAAAAAGGTAAAATTGTAAAGGAAATACAAAGACATGGCCGGTTTACTAATGAAACCATAAATATTTATATTAATTATTTTTAATATGTTAATCCGTGTATTAGTGCAGGTCTTAATCTATAAATAATAGTTGTTATTCACTAGTTTTTTTAGTCTAAATTATTGTTTTAGACTTTAATTAAAATTTAAAATAGTTCCAAAATTATTTTAGAAAGTCATGTAAACATGTTATATGAATGAATATATACATAAGATTAATTGTGATTGGTAACCCCGTGGAATGGCGGAATGACATTTTAATTGCATTTCGCAAGAACTTTACCAATAAAAAAAATTACGGAATATTTAAAAAACGTCAAAATGCAGGTTCTGCGTTTTGGTGGAAAAAATACAAAGAAAGTTTTATTCCATGATTAATCATGTATATACTAGATTAATTTTTGAAACGTTTTTTGTTCATTTTATTCATTAAGAAACAAACAAATCATATTTTTATACAATTACATTTGATTAATTCATAACATATTTGTATTAACAAAACAAGTTGAACTAATACAATTTAATACTTAAACAACAAGATTTATTGTATTTACTATGGTTAAAATTTATAATATCTTCTACCTACTTTTAATATCCAAAATATGACACAATTTCTAACAATTTTAATATATATTAATGTTTTGTATAATTTATTAAAATAATATATAAGTATACCGAGAACTATTTTAAAATGCTATTTGTTTATTAAATCTAATAATTTAAAAAAATAAAACAAATGTATTTCGTCATTCCGCAAATTTATCCAATCACAAAAATATTTTGATTCGGCAGCTTATTTCATTCCACAGAAAAGTATCATTTTCTACCATTGCGCTATTACACAGATATTACCAATAGATAAGGGAATAGGATACAAAAATTACGAATATAAGGTGTTTGATATTGTAGTGGTTTAAATACTAGCAACTACATTTGTCTAGTTTCCTTATTTACATACAAAAACTTCCTTGGGATAGCACGAATATTTTACCTAATTCCTTAATTTCAATTGTTTTGCGGATTATCTGACATACAAAGCAGTTCATTCATTCTAATGAGTTTGTTAAGTTTCATTTGTTTTGTTGATGATCTGACAAACTAAGCAAATTCATTCATTCTAATGAGTTTGTTATGTGCGTGTATTTCGGATGTTTGACTCGTTAACCATTGTAAAAAATTCGGATTGAACTATTGTCATCAAAGTACACATTAACGAAAAAAGTGATAAACAAGAGAGAGAGGTGGTGTTCACGCCTCTCTCTTTTCCCGGGCGGCAATTCACTTTACCTTTCTCTCGAAGCAAAACCCTTTTCTTCTCTTCATGTGACCTTATTTCCCATTTCATTCCTCCATGCATCACTCCTCCGCCGCCGTCTCCGGCGAACTAATCGAACCACCTCCCTCAACCGCTCCTCTCCAACCTCTTCTTGACCTCATCACAAGCGTCCTCTCTCTCCTCCTCCTCTCTTCCCTCACCGTCCGTTCCTTCATCGGAAAGTGGCAAATCCTCCGGTCCAAGCTCTTCTCCCTCAACTCCTCTCTCTCCTCCTTGTCTGAATCTCCTCACTGGTCTGAGAACC